GGCGGAGTGCTCCAGCGCCTGGAGAAGTGCCGACGACTGCCGAAGGGCGTCGTTGGAACGGAGGTCCGCCTGGATCTGGGCGAACAGTATGTCCATTTTCAGACAGAATTATCCAGAAAACCCAATATATGAAGCAGGAAACCCGAGCTAGAGTTACGATTTGTCTGGATACAGATACGGATACGGCATGGAAGAAAATCAGATGAACTAAGGGAGAACGAAGAAGACGATGGCGAGCAAAAGCGCTTTTGCGGTGGAGGCCTGGCAAAACGGCGCGACGTCCGTATGTTGTTTATATAGATACATTATTGAGCTACAACAGCGTGCCGTTTTGATCTGGTAACCGGAGCACACGAAAGACTAGTTATAGGCCCACATTACGTAATTACGAAAGATTATGGGCCGAATTTCATGGGCCTTTTGAGCAACGTGAACATATATTCTTCTCTCGCTGTATATATATACGCATATATAATCTTTCCCCTTAGATTTTTATATCTTACTAGATGAAGATCAGCGTATGCGCGGGTTAATATTTATATATAAATTTTGATTATCTTTTATAAATTATATTGATATAAATATTATTGAATTGGTATAAATTATTTATTTAATGGTAAATTATAAAATAATCATTATTCATTATATAATAACAATATTTGTATCGTTATCTAGACATCTATATATTTGATGTCAGTGGATTTTTGTATATTTTCAAAAAAGGTAAGTAACAAAGTACTAATAAAAATGATATTTTTAATAATATAGTTATGATTTATTTTAAAAATAGTTAAATTTAACACAGTTTATATTTTCAAATAAAATTTAGTTATAAAATAATAATAAAATGATTTATTTCTGAGTTGATTTCTACAAAACATAGAGTTTTTTAGTTTTTAGTTGATTTTAATATCAAATTAGATTTTTAAGTCATTTAAAAAAAATTAATTTTTCAATTTTGTTTGTCATATTTTTGTTTTTGCATTTTAAAAACTCAAAAAACATCTTCCATTCGAGATCTAAATGAAACAAATAATATTCAAACTACTCAATTATACATTTTAGAACTTATTTTATTTCTACATCGAACACATTTTTTTGTAGACCATATTCTACATATATCACACAAGATATTATAAAAAATATATATACGTCTACCATTTCATGAAAACAAATATGCATTGACCCTAAATTATAATATATATATATATATATATTATAACATGTATATTGGAATTATTCGAAATCGGTTAGTTCGACTATATTTTCATTCATCTATTTATTTATGGTCTTACATCAACAAAGTTTTTTTTTTACATGATCTAAAAACAATCCAAATTTAAAATAGTCCATGTGAAAAAAATTCATTTAAAGTCCATCGTGGATTTCCGGTAGTCTAAAAATTTAGTCAAATCGGTCAACGGTTTATTAGAGTAACAATTTGTATATTTGAGATTTTATTCAGTTACAAGTTGCAAGTCTGGGTATTGAATGACAGTTCTGCAAGTTTAAGGTTTATTTATATATATTTTAGCATGTTTAAGTTTTTTTAGAGAGTTTTCCCTTATAAATAAAGTATTTAAAGAAGGACAAAATAAAAATATTAATATTAATTGTATAGACGGTGTATAAAATTGATATCAATGTTTTGTTCGGATGTCTTTATCGTTAACAGTGGCGGACCTACGTGGAGATGAGTGGGGGCACTGGCCCCCACTGTTTTTTTCCTTTTAAAAATATTAGTTATAAAATTTAATAAAATTTTAAAAAAATATGTTAATGCCCCCGCTAAAAATTTCTCACGGACCCCACTAATTTGATTTTTTTCATATATTTTGTGATGTTAGTTAATAAAAAAAATTAGTCTATTGTTTTTTTGTTATTTTCTATTTTCAAGTTTTTTACTTTTTTTAGACAAATAAAAAATATTGTCAATTTAATTATAATAAAATAAAAACTAAAACAAAAGAAGAAATATTTGTAAAAATTGTAAATTTAAATAATCTTTGTTATTTTTTATTTATTTGTTTTTATATGTTTATTATACTTATAAATTTATCTGTATATATATTTATTGAATTTTTATTTGATTTAGTAGAAAGTTCAACCGATAATTTACTAAAAAAATCTAACCCATAATACATTAAATTTTTAATTTTTGAGTCATTGTCTAGTTTATTTTATCAAAAATATAATTCAAACAATTATAAATGGAGTTATATAAATATATTTTAAAAAATAAAAAATCATAGAATTTATTTGTTGAACCTAAATATTTTTAGATAAAATTTTATAATATATATTTATATTTATATTTATATTTTTATTACTATTATTTTGTTGCCCCCATCGATAAAATTTTCTGCGTCCGCCACTGATCGTTAATATATTTTATTATAATAAAATTAGTTATAAGATAATAATAAAAATGATTTTATTAATTATTATGGTGATAGTTTATTTTAATAATAGTTAAATTTACATATATGTCATGAAATTTTTTATTAGGTTGAGTTTTATATTTGTTTATAGATGATGTTGCGTGAGTGGTAGAAATAACCTAAGAGAAAATAATGTGTATATATTATATATTTTTTTTATTAATAAAAGAGGAAATAACCTAAAAATTATTAATTTTAAAAGAGGTTGTAATATAAAAGAGGTTGCTAAATAATATTTATTAGGTTCGTTGAGATTAGGTAATATTTATTATCATTTATTCAATTAATTAATTCAATTTTTATATAAATTTAAATATCTTTTAAATTTTATTGACTAATATTAATTCAATAAATTTCACTTTTTTATAAAAAAAATCAACTCTAAAAAATATATTAGTTCCCTTTTTGTTACTATTTGGAAGTTATATTATCATATTGGTCATATACTTTTTTTTAAAAAAAATATGGCTACAGAGTTTCTAACATATCTAACTACTATATATATATGGATGACAATTTGATTATTTTTTCTTGCTAACAGATACGTTAAATTTAATCATTTTCTAAGTATACTCTCCCTTTTTTAAATTAAATATTACTTGTTTTTTGCCTTGAGGTATTATTAGGTTACTGGAACACACCAAGAAAACATCTAGAAAAAAAAGAAATCTTTCATTTAAAAAATAAAAAAGAAAGATCAAAGGACATCATGCTGTCTCATGATATTCCCATAAGAACGCGTGGCGTTTTACATGGTCAGAAACGTCACGTAGTACAAATGCTTAAAGACGAAGGCCTCTGTGACTGTGTTTGTGTTTTGGGCTGAGACAAGACTCCTCATGAGCGGCCCACCTTTAATCAAATCATTGTATTGTATCCACTTAAAATCCAAAACAAATTTTATATTACCTATTTAAATACACGTGGCACAAATTTTTATTGTATTTGAATTACAGTTTCATATTTATTAAAAACAGATTGTATCAGGAAAAAAAAAAAGGCAAACCCCTAAGACAGCATACTTAAGCTTCTGTCTACTACCAAAAGGCCATTGATTTGGATTTTCAACAAGTGTTGGACCATCACAAATACATAGGATATGTAAAAACAAGAAATCCTTACATTATATTATATGGTGAACAAGCCTCTGGATCAAACAACATCATGCCAAATTACAGGAACCAAAAAAAAAAATGGCTGTTCTATTAACAGTCCACCTGCAAGTTCAAAAACAAGTTTTGAGATTTTGGCTCCTCCCCTTTGAAGAAGGATCGAATCAAATCAAATCAGCTCACCTGTGTAAGCATATATGCCGATATATATCACTCAGTATAACCATAATGGCCTCTCCATGGTTGTCCAGCAACAAGATCATCACAAACAAAATCCAAGCTTCTAAGCAGAAAGCCTTTTCAAAATCCCATTTTTTTTCCCATCAAAGCCCTGAACTTTGAGAATCGTCTTTCTCCGAAGTTTCTTGCTGATTTTCATGTGGGCGTCGCTGGTTATGAAGATGATGGTGGTGGTGGTGGGGAACCCTAGCCTGATCCAACTGATGATAAATCTGCGTGAGAGCCTGTTGATTCAAAACACCAGCGTTCCCATCCTGAGACAACCCAAGTTCCAGTCCGGGCATCTGATTGTTAGAACCAGAACCTAAGATTGATGCAAAACTCATCGCACCCATGTTCGAAACACCGGGAAAATCATACCCGGAAAGCCCAATTCTGTATCCTCCGCCTGCGCCGGCGCCGGCGCCGCCACTCTCACTTATTATCCCGGTGGTTGATGCACCAGCTCCTCCGCCGCCGCCAGACGGTGGCTGAAACGCAAAGCTAGCAACGTTTGGCCACAACGCCGTTGGTATATTATGGTGATGAGCCCTAGAAGCTGCTTCTCCTCCTCCTCCTCCGCCATCGCCGGTACCCACCATGGGCCAATTGGGTCTGCTACTACTGCCCAACCCACCAATCCCACCACCGCTAAGATCATGGTTCATCATCAGACCCGTCGACAGAGAGATCCCAGAGCCACCGGCGGCTGTGACGGAGGCGGTCAAGGCAGAAGCGGGAATAGTTCCGGTACCTGTGGCGGCGATAACCGATGGCTCAGCCTGCTGAAGAAGCCACTGAATGGTCTCACCGTCGGATTTGTGACCCAATTCTCTGGTCAACTGAAAAATCCTCGCCGCGCATAGCGCCGGCATCCTGATTCTCCGACCCCTGCCCTCGACTTTGGTGTGTCTGTCTTTGTTCGAGCTCCTCTTCGGACCCAACAACTGCTGCTGTTTCTTGTTCACCTCTTTGTCCGCGACCACAATCTGATGATCCTTAACCTCAGCTTCTTTGTTCAGACCACTCTTCTCGTTGCTGTTTGTATCTCCCATCCTCTGATTTTGCTGCTGCATCGATGGTGGGTTCAAGAAATTTGGTACTTGGTGTTGATTTGTGTTCTTGGGATCCATGAATCGGCCCTCTCTCTCTCTCCCCACTGAGAAAAGGCCTTAACGTCTCCAAGTTTTCACTGCTTTCAGCAAAGAATTTTAGAAATCCTGCAAAAACCCTTAAGATCCCAAGGCACAGAACAGAAATGAATAAAGGGCCAAAAAAAAAAGGTTACACCTTTCGATCTCTATGGGGGAAAAAAAACAGAGGTTGGTTTAAAGAAAGTGTTAAAAGACTTTAGTTGTCACTGCTTTTCATTACAACAGATATATCCATATCAAGACACGGAATCTTTTTTAGTCTTAGACCAGTTATAAGAAAATTGTAATTATAAACCAATATATTAAAATTGTTACCACATCACAGCAATGCAAATTATTTAAAAAGTTTATTTTCCAACCATATATGAAATAACGATGTTTAATAAGTGCAAATTTCCAACCATATATGAGTTCGCATTCTCTTAGTTTTTTCTCTGTATTTAGAGCTTTCAGAATTGTTTCCATAAAAAAATATTTAGTGAAGAATATTATTATCTTTTATTTATTTATTTATTTTAGTACTGATCAACCATTCAAAATGTAAACTACATATCATATTATTATGAAAGCAGTCTAAATTCAAGACAATGAATCAATAGCAAAATTTTTATATGTGCATTCTTATATTCTTTGTAATATCTCTAAAATTATATATATATATATATAATATGTGTGCGTGTGTGTGATTATATTATGAAATTTCTATAGACGAACCATCTATTTTGATAAATTTTATTCAATCATGTTTGTAAATAGAACATTACTTATACACATCGACATATATATATTGGTAATAGAGTGAATCACCACGATTTTTCGGATGTAGAGTAGATCTACCGATCTCACGCAATAGTTTGCAAACTATATATTGTAATAGAAATTGACACTCAAGAAGAATCTCATACCGTAGAGGATTGAACCATAGGATTGAACCATAACCTCCAATTAAAAGAAAGGACTCTCAACTAATAGAGTTGGTGCTTCCCCGCATCAAAACATGTATTGACCACTTTGTTCTATATATTTGAATTTATAATCCAAAAAAAATGCGGAATATATATATATATATATATATATATATATATATATCAATAACGGAATATTATCTATTACATATAGATAAGTTATGTATATGTTTGACTGTAATTATATGGACTACTACATATTTACATTTAAGCATTAAGATAAGCTAATAAGATAGTACTTGAATATATAGATCCAAAAAAATGTCAGATGATATACACATAAAGTATATATATGATTATTAATTCACATAATATTAACTATGAAGTTTATTTCACATGTTGCATTACACAGTACTAAACATATTTTCTAAGTGCAATACGTACGGTCAAGAGCATTAACAAAGTACACAAGAATCTGAGTTTTCTAAGGGCGTCCTTTTGCCGCAAGCAAAGCAATACACTACGTATCGTATCCGACCACACGAGTCAAAGTCAACGCCTTCCATTACAAGAAACCTAGATTGCCAGTGACACGTGGCAGCTCCAGCAACTTAGCTAGGTTTGCTTCTCGGACAAGATCTAAAGATTGAATGAATGAATGAATGAATGACTTCCAGTGCACATCATTTTGCTTGGCAACTATCATAATGATATCTCCTTCCATGATATGATCAAACGACTTCATGCCTAATCGCTCTATATAAATATTAATTATTTAGCAACGCATGCATGTTTATAGTTTCACAATAGCTAAATTGTAATCATTTCGCTTTTATTGCGTTTTTTATTTTATAAATACTTATATAACCATCATAAAAATAAAATTATGAATAAGATCTAAATTTAAAGTGATGTTACATTGTCTTAATATATATTTATCAACATTACATATTATTGTACGATATGAGAAGATATCGTTTATAGCGTTGTTAATTTGCAGTTAATATTGAAAAGGCGCAAATTTACGCAATAGTAACGTCTCCTGGTAATACTGGAATAAAGTCGAAATTGATGAGTCCTCATTTTATAAAACTCTAATTTGGTTGCTTAAAAAAATAGAGAGTTAAATTCATATAATTTGAAAATTAAAGACTGGAAAATGAGACGATTAGCGTTACATAATCTTCCATTGATACTCGAAGGGGTTATTCTTCAATGCAATTGGTCAAAATAAACAAAATGACTGATATGACACAATCAGATGTAAACACGTCAGATTATTTTTCTTAGTTTTTTTACAATCGAAAAAAGTTCATGTATTTTTTTGGATCACTAAAAAAGTTCAGTGTTTTTTTTATAATCAGAGAAAAGTTCATGCATTTTTTGGATCACTTAAAAAGTTCAGTGTTTTTTTAGATTCGTTTAAAAAGTGGAATGTTTATTTGATAAAAAATAAAATTTAATGTTTTTAATTAAAATTAAAAAGTTCAGTATTTTTTTAAGATTTTTCCGAAAAAACACGCAAATGCATAAAAGCGACGAATGTGACAAATAAATGATGAAGATTTTGGATGTAATGATGCTCACAAGTTTTTTCATTTCAAGATTGGGACGATGTGACGGTCGCAGTCCCAATCAAGGAGGAATCTCTCTCTCCCTATCCATTTACGGTGCTTTGTCCATCCAATCCGATGCTCCTTATCTTCAATTTTATATATTTTTTTTATATATAATAATATAAATTTTAAATCAGCAAATCTTGCCACATTTCTCTCCACCAGTTATGCCTCAATTTGGCAAAAGAACATGGGTGTATGCATATATTTTAGATATTTTGGGTTTTTATTTAATATTCTGTCTCCATTAACCCATCTATTAATTACTATACCAATAAACGAACCGAAATAAAATGTTGCAATTTTGTTGGATTGGATTCGGTTATTAATCAAATGTTGCAATTTTGGGTATAATCGAGTGCACTAAACCAATACCCACATTGATATCGGGATTGAAAACCGACCATATAATTTGCAATATACATATTCTTTTCAAATTTGATATTCGAATTCACATCGTAATAAATATTTTTCATCAATTTCATGGGTTGAACTATCCAAATTTTGATAACAGACTTGGAATTATATTCTCCACGATTGTATCTTTCTTATTTAACTACTCAGATCTATCATTTCAAATAAACATAGATGATATGAGCTCTCTCTCTCTATAAATTATGGTAATATATATTCATTATTATCCAACTTTAATCTATACATTCCAGATAAAATGAGGTTGGTCCATCTAGGTTTATAATAATAGGCGGTACTAAACAGGCCGGAATTTATAAAGCTACAAGATACTCATGAGGCATAATGGGCTCGTATTTTATCCTCACATGGTTGGACCAAGTTGGTCATTACAAAAATTTAGATCCATAAATATAACTGCTGTAATTTGGTCCGTCGCACTTCAATCATTTGTAATCAAATACTGCACAAAAATTTAGATCCATAAATATAAATATAGCTACACATTGTAAAAACAATATAATATAAGCTTCCTATACCTACACATTTTATGTATGGGATATCTTAATAATTCGGACGAGTCGAAATTGTAAGTGCTAGCAACATGAAAAATAAAAAGGCCGCATGCGAATTTAATGAAATTCAATATTGCCAACATTTTCGTATCCACATACTTATATATATATATATATATATATATATTAAGAGTGTAGATGATCATTTGTACTTAACGTGCAAGAAGCTTCGAAATGATTGCATCAAAGGGATCGATCCCAATGTGTCGTCATCATATCACTAAAACACTCTTATCACATTACCCAACAAAGTTCAAGGAGCATCTCAAAACTAAACTTTACCATCAAGGGCAACGACAAGTAATTGTTTCATAACTCCTCGGGCAACAGTTCAAATTTCAGCACTAGCCACAAGAATTACCCGACTTTCGCCATAGGATTGATCTGTTTGTTCGATAGAACACACATTATACGAAATAAATTTATTTACCGCAACTCTCTATCAATTCTGAACAAATTCGATTACCTGGTGTTGCAGCATCCTGAAAGACACTGTTTTGTTAAAACTTTTCTAAATAAATCAGTTGATGATAAAAGAACACTCCAGCAAGGTGTTTCCAGAGAAAGGCGAGGGTATGCTTGTACACAAAGAATCAGAAGTCCCACTCTTTCTCAACTAGAGGTTTCCATATCGGATTTTACGAAAATAACCTTTCTTTAGAAGACATTACGATGATATGATCAACCCTTTTGTCTTTTCGGTTTACTTGTCTCTGCAAAGACTGTAATGTTGTTGGCTTTTGCAGATCTTGCACTGGAGCTCCGAAGAAGATGATATATATGTATATAGCTACAGCATATGAAACTGTATCTATCGATTATGCAGCATGGTTTCACAATCAAAACCTAAACTTCATTGAAACTCGGATGATCCATTGTCGAAAAGCAAGATATACGAAATATTACAGGGAAAAGAGGTTCTACAAATCTAAAAATCCTCGTCGAGCTTGAAGACGTGATTCTCTATGGCGCTGTGTCCGTTCAAGCTCGACATGACTGAAGCCTTCTGATACTCGCCGACCCGCTTCTCGAAGAAGTTGGTCTTCCCCTGTAGCGATATCAGCTCCATCCAATCAAATGGATTTGGCACACCGTACACCTTACCGTACCCAAGCGCACCCAGCAGCCGATCCGCCACAAACTCGATGTATTGGCTCATCAAGTCACGGTTCATCCCCACCAACGCGCATGGCAGAGCGTCGCATACGAACTCTCTCTCGATGTCGACGGCGTCGCGGACGATTGACTTGACGCGCTCCTCGGTCAGCTTGGTCCTGAGGAGACTGTATAGGAGACACGCGAAATCGCAGTGGAGGCCTTCGTCTCGCGAGATCAATTCGTTCGAGAAAGTTAATCCCGGCATCAACCCCCGCTTTTTTAGCCAAAAAATCGCGCAGAAACTGCCGGAGAAGAAGATCCCTTCGACGCAGGCGAAGGCGATGAGTCTCTCGGCGAAGCTTTGAGACCCGTCGATCCATTTCATTGCCCACTGCGCCTTCTTCGCGACGCAAGGGACGGTCTCGATGGCACGAAAGAGGTGGTCTCTCTCTTTCGCATCCTTGATGTAGGTATCGAGGAGTAGACTGTACATCTCCGAGTGGATATTCTCGATCGCGATCTGAAAGCCGTAGAAGGCGCGCGCCTCCGAGACCTGGACATCCGACATGAACCGAGAAGCGAGGTTCTCCAACACGATACCGTCCGAGGCCGCGAAGAACGCGAGCACGTGGGTGATGAAGTGGCGTTCACCATCGTTCAGGGTCATCTCCCAATCGCGAACATCCTGCGACAGATCGACCTCCTCGGCAGTCCAAAATGAAGCCTCGGCCTTCTTGTACATCTCCCAGATCTGTGGGTATTGGATCGGAAACATGCAGAACCTGTCCGGCGTCGGTGTCAGGAGCGGCTCCTCCGGCATTGAAGGCATTTTCAGTGATTTAATCGGAGAAATTGATGAAGGAATGAAGAACTGATTATGGGTTTCTGCGCTGCTGTGATGAAATTGGGATCTGGGACTGGATACTTATGGAGGAAGCTTGAGAATTTGGGGATTGAATGTTTGAATGAGAGAGGGAAAACGTGAGGAGGGAATCTGAAAATGTTTGAAATTTCTTTCGACAAGCTTGCGGGAGAAGATGAAGGGTATTTTCGTGAAAACGCGTAGAAACCTGGCTATTTACGGAAATGTGGTGTGTAAATAAATCCTCGTATTAGGCGGTTTTCAATAATTAGTTTTGAAGTGGAGCGGGGAAAAATCGAAGTCGGCGCCAACATTTGATGAATTGGCCCGCGAAGTAAAAGGGCAAAACGGTAAATATAGGATAGCCTTGGGCCTTGTGGTAAATTGGATTGATAAGCTCAAAATAATGGGCTAATAGAATGAGCCCATTATAACGGGCCTAGAGAATAGAAGCCCATTAAGTAAGCCTCTTCATGAGACGAACTAACCAATCAACCGTTTTCCCGCTCTTTATATCAGCGTTTACACTTTACACTATACTCTGTTTCTCCCATTCAACGGCATTTTCTCCTTCGATACAGTAAAAGAACAATTCTTGAACCAGAGAGAAAGAGGGAAAAAGCTTCAAGAGAGCTTCAATGGCGGTGAAGCTTCTTTCTATCATCTTCTTCCTCTTCCTCCTCAACCTCTCATCACCTCTCTCTGCTATTCAGACCCCTGTCTCCTCCGCCATTGACATCCTCTCCGATTCCGGCTTCTTCTCCATGTCGCTCACTCTTCAGGTCACTGTGACGGCTCTCAACCTCTCTGAATCTCCTAAACTCACTATCTTCGCACCGTCAGATGTTGCTTTCTCCGAATCCGGACAGCCTTCGCTTCTTGATCTCCGGTACCAGGTTTCTCCGGCGAGGATTCCAGGGGAAAGTCTCAGGAATCTCCCTCATGGCGCGAAAATCCCTACTCTGAGATCGGATATCTCTCTGATCGTCACTGGCTCTTCGGAATCTGGAGGTGAGAATTCGATCAACAACGTCGTTGTCCAAGATTCTGCAATTTTCGACGATGGATACCTGGTGATTTACGGAACCGATGAGTTTTTCAAACCATTTTCGCAAATCTCCATTAGTCCGATCTTTGCACCAAAACCGAAACCCAATGCCAACCCTGATTCGTCATCTTCTTCAAGCCCTAGCCCTAGCCCGAGTTCTAGTCCTAAGTCATCAAACAGCTCGATATTGGGTTCACCAAATTCTTCTATCCCCGATTTCGAATTTCATGTTTTGAGTCCCAATTCAGGTAGTAACCTACCAAACAGTTCGTTTCCCAGATCAACAGTTCGTTCTAGCCCTATCTTGCCGAATAACTTGTCTGGTTCTGACACCGATACCAATGTCTTCGAGCTGGCTTCAGCCGTGTTAACGTCGAGGGGTTATGTTATAATGGGCACTTTTCTCGATCTGCAACTTGAGAGTTCGTCGAACCAGACGAGGCTCACCGTCTTCGCCCCTGTGGACGACGCCATTACAGAGTCCGCAGCCAATTTCTCCGACTACTCCACCATTTTCAGGGGACATGTCGTCCAGAGGCTCCTCACCTGGAACGATCTCAAGGAACTGGATGGGGAGAGATCGGTTCTGCATAGCGCAAGGAGAGGGTTCGAGATCGAGCTGTCTTGGTCCGGAGACATTCTTCTGCTCAATGGAGCTCCCATCGTCTTCCCAGATCTTTACGTGAACGCTTGGATTGCTGTTCATGGCTTGAACCGGATGATCCTTCCGCAGTCGAAGCAGGATTTCCCCATGGGAGAGTCCTTCTCAGAACTTGACGGTGGAGATGAGGATGAGAGTCAAGACTCTGCCGAGTTCCGCGACTATGGTGCTCGCTGACTCGTTTCCTCGGACGATTTTGTAATGAATGACACTAATAGATACAAGAAGAAATCCATGGATTTAGATACATTCAAGTTGTGTGGAAGAGACTTGTTCTTTTGGATGCCACAATGGTTACATAGAATCCGTTAAAACATGTTCTTATAATAGGAGATACATAATGATCATTGGCATTAACAAAAACCCTTTGCCCAGTTTTTTTCCCCGAAATTTTTACAAAAATTCAGTTCCTGGGTCTCCAAGGTAAAGACCCTTTCCTCTGTTTGTTTCCGCCATTAAAGTAGTTTCAGAAACTAGAAACTAGCTTTTGCCATTTCTCTTAGCTTCTTCATGTCTCCCCCACGTGTTGCGTCCGTACCAAAACCAGGAGGACTGCACTGCAAGGGCATGACTGATGCGGTCATAGCACGAAATGACTCAGCCCGAGAACCTATTCTACGATCCCTAGTTTCAGCTTCCATTTTGAGTGTTGAAGAGCTTGACCAGAAGTTTCTTGGGAGGCAAGGCACCGTTAGACCCTTGAGAGCTGACCTAAAACCAAGCCTGAGGGATGGGTTGTTCTCGGGCTGGTCCGAGAGTTTGATGATGAAGCTAACGAGCGCATGCCACGCATTCACCAGTTGAACAACAAAGACGATCAAGAAGAGGGCTAACATGATGAACCCGATATGACCGACTTCTTTGAATGCCATGGCCATGCCGAAGAGAGCCACCTCGCAGAAGAGAGAAACAGCTTCCACCACTTGAACACCTCTTCTGGTGTACGGCTTGAGAACAAACAGATACACGAGCTGTGCTGAGGTGATAACAATGGCTGAAAGGGTTTGTATGGATCTGTCTGATCTTGTTGATATTCCAGAGATAAACCCTAGATAAGCCCTCCTCGCCAAATCTATGATGATGAAGAATGATCTGGCACAGCCCGTGATCCTGCTGAGACCTGAGGCCTTGATTTCCTCGCCGATGCCGTTTTGATCGTAAACTGGAGGACCCTTTTGGTTCTCAAATAGAATGGAGAAGCAAGAGAGGGTTGAAGAAGGTAGGCCTTCTCTGCAAGACCATTTTCCTGTACTTTTCCGACACAGTACGGCCGAGAAGACCTTTCTACACCATGAGATGTTGTCTTCAGTCACATTCCTCGCTTCTCTGTACTCCAAGAAACTACCTGAGAAGACAGCGACAATGTGGAACAGGCAGACTGATAGGATAAATGCAGCCGGAACAGCTAACAACAGAGCTCCAGTGACTATACCCCATGGTGTACCGCCTACAAGACAGTGTCCGAGGTTTTCTTACTTGATTGAATTGTATGAACTTTGTGGAGAGATGGAGACAAGTTTGGGGTTTAACCTCTTATTACAAATGCAGAAGACTGGGAAAGGCAAGGAAGCGCCAGAATTAAAAAGAGCAGCTCAAACTGAGGTGTCGAGAGCATCCCAAGAGCCGATTCTCCCGTCCTGCATCTCAAGAATAGGGATAGCAGAACACGAATGGTGATAAAACTCAATCCTGCTATCCCAAGCCAGAAAACATTCATCTTCAAGTCTTTCCACCTGTTCAAGGAACTCTTATTTCAAAGTACATACGGGGTAATGGTGTGATATGTTTGATCGTAGGTTTGGTTAAAGGGTTACCCTTTGTGATTCTCCAACTTCCTGATCACATTTTGAGACGATAATGGTTCACCCCTCTGCGAAAAAACCAGCGCAGATGTAAGAAACACGCCAGCAATTCAATAAGACGACTTAACGTAGATTTGGGATGTCAACTGACTAACCAAGAAATAGGTGAAATACTCGGCTGAGTTAAGTGGTAATCCATTCGAGCTCTCCGTGCTTGAGTTGCTTTTACCATAAGCTACATCAGAGCTTTTAATCAGAAACTTTTCTTCGCTCTGCTTATAAGAAGATTCCGTAGAATTGGAGCTAGCAGAAACGTTCATTGAATGGTATGTAAACTTCTCTCCAGCTGAATCAAATCGGTCAGGCCAGATCGGACGGTTCTGATTCTTCCATGGAATCTTTTGACGAGGTATGAGCCATCTGAGACCTTTCATTGTCTCCGAATACTCACCAGGTGAAACAGGTATGAACCAGTCTAATAGAACAAACACTTGCAGATGCCCTAGCATTCCCTGCAAATATCTGCCTGATTATATGTCTGCTAACGAAGAATTGACGAATTGAGCTTTACAAGCACGTGTTGTTTATACACATACTAACATGAAGATTAGTTGATGGGTCAGAAGAGGTTATGCTTGTACACAAAGAATCAGAAGTCCTTATCCTCTCGAGATTTGCTGCCGAAAGAGAGAGAAGAACCGAAGCAACAGAAGTTGCCAGAGTTCCAGCAGTCACAAAGGAATGTAAAGCTGTCGATAATGGAGGTCTCAGATCTGAAGAAGAAGAAAATGTTAGCAGGACTGACATTTTCCCTCAGAAACAAGTAAAGCTTCAAGACCTGCTGTGAAAATCTCTCTTACAATGCTTCACTTCAAGCATGTTTGATTCCATATTCGGATTCCCTGAAATGTCTTTGACCTTTTCAGCAG